GAAATGACTGCGGTTGTAGTTCTCCTTTCGTCAGGCTGATTAATCTATTGTGTTGGGGCAATCCGGGAGTTTTATATTTATGTCAGAGTGTAAGCTGTGTATCAGTCACTCTGTATCTCTCGGAGAGCCAAAATAGCTTGATTTTGTGCTGATCTTGCTGTGTGTGGGAGGAAGGGGGTGGGTATAATGGGGTAGTTGGAACATAACACAAACATTACCAAAGAAAAATACTCTCCTAGTGGTATTTTACTTTGAGAATTTCAGGACACATAGATCAAAGGAAAATGCCTGTGGCTAGTGAAGGCTACTTGGCATTCTTTGCAGCTCCAGATAAGGGACTAATCAATGAGTATGACCTTATTCTTAGTCAATAGCCCCTTTTCAGTGCTTGTAGGAAGGGAGTATACCTCAGGATATTTGTGTGCTAACACAATCACCCGATATATAAACAAAGACAAGAGAAAAAGTACTGTGGAATCTCCCCTTGGAGCATTCTTTTGGAAGTTATTTGGCAGAGTAATTTTAAGTTCACTACAGTTTGTTCGTGCCCATATGTACCCAGAATCTTAATGATCTACCATCAGTGGGATATTGTCACTACACCAACTCCAGACAAATGCCAGGAACAGAGAAGACCACTCTATACTTGTGGCTTTTAATTGACCTGACAAAGGTGTCCTATTCTCAGACAATCTCCGAATAAACAGTTAAACAGGGCTCTGCACTTGCCCCCACACTGCTATGTGGTCACTATGTTCCACTGAGGTTGCAACTCCAGGCACAGACCAAGGTTCATTGGGTCCTTATCAGGGAAGTGATGTTTGCTGACAATGCTGCACTGCTCTGTCACTCAGAGGAAACACTTCAAAAACTCATCAGCAGCTTTGCACATGCCTGAATTGAGTTTGGTCTTACTAGGCATTTCCATCTGAGGGTGCAGAGGTTTCACAATGTATTGATGAAGCAACAACAGAGTGCTCTATACTCAGGCCTTTACAGTCACCAGATCTCGACCCAATTAAACACCCATGTGAGATTTTGGAGTGACGTGGATGGTCAGACAGCATCTGAAACCCCACACCTTTCCAGACATCAGATCTGGGGAACACCTCCAGGGAACACACACATAATCAAAACACAAATGTGTCCCTTCAGCAGAGCTTCAGAGACTCCTTGCAGACGTCCTTGTAGCGCATGGTTTGCCAGGATTGGCACAGATTACACAATCCTGACCAACCCTGTGCTACAAGGATGTTTGCATGACATAGGGCAAACACCATTGACGCAGCCTGATAATCAAGACTGAATTGCCATTTCATTTTACTTCCTTCATTCAGCCTGGCATTGTGTTCATGTTTCATGCCCATTTCTGTTTGGGGACGGGAGGTTTTTTGTTTTGCCATGACAGTAGTACAGTAGTGAGTAACTTCTAGTCCGACTACATTATCCTACTGATGCCATTTACAAATGACATAGAAGCTATTGTAGCGATAGCTAGGAACTTTATCAATGATAGAAGAAATATACCAATCACAGAGATTCAACAACCTGCACAGCTGTGTCAATCTTATTCATGCTTGTCACCATTTTCATGGCCATTTGTCTGTCACTAATTTCAATGTGTGTGTCTCCTTTTTCTTTTTTTAAACCCACCTATAAAGCTTTAATTGGACAAATGTCTAATCGGAGGAAACCGCCATTAATAAGCACAACAGACCTATTTTAATTTCTGAACGAATCAGATACGTGGGCAGGGATTCAGAGGTCTGGAACCAGGATATCGTTGATGCTGAGGCATGCTAATTCACAGCAGTAGATGTAAAATATGTGGGAGGAGAAGAGGGAACACAGCTGAGGGATGGCAACTGCAATGCAGCTGCACTTTGTTTTTCACCTGTGACACCTTCAAGAACGACTGTAGCTCCAGACTCTACAGTCATTGCAGGTGCTGCTAAAAATAAATGAGTCTATGCCATAAAAATTAAGCACAGCAAACAAACCTGTTATCTTTCGGTATCTTTCAGAGAAATTCTACAGTCTTCCTGCCATTAAATTATACTCCGCAGATTGAGTGGCCAGGATTAGGCAGTTAAAACATGGCATGGGGCCATATGGACCTCATGTGACCAGTGAAAGAAAGGTCATGACTTTAGCCTGTGGGTACTGGGAGTGGCTGCACTAAGTGCCTAGTGGTCAACCAATCTCTTTCACTTGCAAAACAATGGGCCTCCTTGAGTGAGCTGTGTACTTGACAGAAGGCTAGTTAGCTACTGTGGCGTGTGCCAGAGTCGGATTCATATTCTTGTTTTGCCAAAGTCAGCAAACCAGCCAAAGCTTCTTTGGGGATTATCGACATATTATTAATTGGCTATTGGCTTGATCACTGATGACGTCACTTCCACTGCGTACAGCACGTGTCCAAATGCATTTAAATGTGTCTTTTTTAACTTGTTTTTTCACCTCAGACATCCACTGGTACATCTTTATTGTATGTGACATCAGAATAGTTAGTGGTAGATTTATGTCAGTAGAACACAGGCTGCAGCAGGGAATTGTGGGATTGCTGATCTAGTGGGTTGTGGAGGATTAGGGTCAGCTGCAGTAAGGAGCTCAGGCCTCCTTGCATTTCTTTTTCAAACTCTGCTGCTCATTCTGCAGCTCCATCTACATAACGTGCCATATTTTATATAAATTCCCACCTGTTTTAATATCTTTATATTAGGTATATAGCTTGTACTGTCCTGAGTGTCTGTGTGTGTTAACACTTTTCCGTAGCCCACCACAGGATGTAGTTTTTTTCAGTCACAATGCAGTGGCCTGTTCAGTGCACATGACGCCTTATACATAACCGAAGAATTCAAATCCCATGCAGTTCATAACCAGTGAACCGTTACTTTTCTCCCAGCAGCACACAGAGAAGGGGTCTCGAGGTTAGTTGGTTCAAACTCAGCAGGTCTTGCACCCATCGCCCTGCTCTCAGCTCATTGGCTTTGTCATTCCAGCTGCGATAGTGTCTGTGAACAGAGAGCATTATTCATGTCCTCAGAAGGGGGCAAGTCCTAATTGAAATTCCGGTCTTTTCCACTGGAATGAAGCAGGGCCGCCGACACCCACTGTATTATGCTGGCCTTGTCACCTTGAAAAGCCCATCTGGAGACTGTTCACATTCCTGGGCAGCAGAAAAGACCCATTAGAAAAAAAAAATAGTGATGTATAACAGAAAGGAACGAATGAAGCAGGACAAAAGATTTGGGCAGTGTGAGAATAGCAGCATTACAGTACTGTTCACTTTCAATGGTTTGATGTGAAGCCATCCTCTACACTGCAGTAACTAAAGGGCTGGACTGTCTGTGGTTGCTGGCTGCCAGTGTGGTGTGCATGCTAATGGCTGGGTGAATGAATCAGTGCCATTCTGATAGAGGAGAATTGAGTACAAGGAACCTCTTTCTAGTTAGTTCACTCTCACAGCAGCCTACTGTCTTGGTCTGTCTACTGTCTCTGAACAACAACTGTACATGGTGATTTATTGCCTTTATTTAATGTTGCTAAATTTGACATGCACGGTACAGTAGGCAAAATTTGTTTTTGACACTGACATATCAATGATTTTTCAGTTAAGTGTTAAGTATAAAATGTAATACATATTTAAAATATTTCTGTCACAATTTCCCAGAGCCCAAAGTGACATCTTTAAATTGCTTGTTATGTCCAAACCACAGTCCAAAACCTAAATATATTCAATTTAGTCTTATATAAAACATAAAAGCAGGAAATGCTCACATTTGAGAAGCTGAAACTAAAGCAAATGTTTTCTATTCTTGCAGGTTAGGTCACGTAACAGTTTATAAATACATACAAATTTTATAACATTTTTCATCGCAATGTACTGCCTAATTTTCTTTCACGTAACTTAATATTTCAACACTAATTGGCGCTCATTTCCCTTTAACTGGGGTGTCACTTGGTCCACTGCTGGTGTAGTTAAACTAATATGAGGTGTTTCTTTATATTAAAAGTCACAGTAACAGTAGTAGTCATAATGTACAACGGCCTGGGAATTATGTTCCATTACGTGTTGCATCAACATAACATAATCTTCTTCATGAGTATCATTGTCAGGATCCATGTTCTGGCCTGTCTGCCTAACCTTGTTAGAGGTGATGTTCTGTTTCAATGGTTGATTCATCAGCTCTGGCCTATTTTTGTCAGCATGAGGAAAAATCACCAAATTAGGACCCAGTGCTCTCTTTACATAGACACTCCTAAGTTGGGTTGCACTAACTCTCTGTGAATCCATTTTCAAGTTTGTGTGTAAACTCTCCTAAGTTGTCACTAACAACCAGCTAGTTTGAAACTAGTGATTTACTAAATGTGCTTGCACTATTGGAACTTAAGAAATGCCTTAGCTGGTAAAGAATGCTAAAGTCTCTGTAACATCACAGGCTGTAGCATGATGTACATGAAGTACAAAAGGCAAGCAATACATTAAACTTAACTGCCAATGATTTGTGTGTATTACTTTGCTTTATTTAATCTAAATGATACTTTACTGTAATTGATACAGTATGTTTTGTATTTAGTAATAGTCATGCAGTTTGGAACTAGTGGGGAAATATCCAATTGTACTAACCTAGCTGACATTTTTAACAAAACATAATATTGTTATTTTTTAGAAAATGTAGTTTAAAGATCTTCCTACTTTACATCATTTTTGGGGCAAATACGCTGACAATATTCCATATTACCTCTCACAAACAACAAGGGTTAGAAAGGATTACCAAGCAAAATTTATTGGTTCAGTTAGCTTGGTAGTCACTGGATGCGAATACTTGGCTAGTAATACCTAATCTCTACCTAAGAATTATTTTATGTGGTGCAGTCTGTTTTAATTTAGTGATCCATAATTGTCCTCTTCGTTAAACTGTTACATTGTAACTACATTTATTGCAAAAAACCTTAATAACACATTTGCTTCTCTCTTTCTCTTTGTTCTCTGCCAGGGATTGAGCTGTGCCTGCCGGGATGGCGTTTTTCCATGACCATGGTGGCCAGTTTTGTTGTGTTGGGTGGTCAGCTGCTGATGCCTGGGGTGGCATACCTCTGTCGCGACTGGCAGGTACTCCAAGCTTTCATCATCTGTCCCCTTCTGCTGATGCTGTCCTACATCTGGTAAGGAAAAGACCCGAGCATCTGCTGCACCTTTTGGCACCAACCAGTCTTTTTTTTTTTTTTATTTGTTGAAGTTTCAAAGGTTTCAGGTTAAATTCTAGATGAAACTCTTCCACTGCTGAAATGTGACATCTGGAATGAAATTCTACATGTGTTAGTTCTATTAGTTTTTTATTGTCTAAATAAACCCCAACAACACTTTTGCAGATTGACTTGGTCCAAACAAAGAAGTGGAGGAAGTTTCCAAGGACATTTTTCAGCAGTGAATTCCCAGCTGAATTAGTTTTCTTATCGTTAATTCATTTGTGACCTCTACTGTGACTGCAGTCTCTTTTGCGAAAGCTCAGGCAATAAATACTTGTGTATTCACCCCAATTTATTCTATGCTGGTGTGTACAAAGCCAGCAGAAGAAAATCCAGGAATATAGATTTTTATCACATAGCATAAAAGGCCTTTGCTTTCTTCAGTGGTGCAGCTGAAGAACAAATGGGGTTTCCACTCAGAAACAGTCAAAAGTACTCACTAATCTGGTTGAACATAAATGCTGGTGATATAACTCACTTCAATCAGTGAGCAGAACGGTTGGGGGGGGGGGTGATGGGGGATTTCGACAACGATAGTCAGAAACCTTAAGCGCCCATCAAGGTATGATTGAAAGAAAAAAAAAAAGCTGAAAAAGACTACAGAACTCAACGTCATGAAGCGGGCTGGGAAAGCGATAAGTCACAGATATTACTGAACATTGGGCAGTGAACTCAAACTAACCAACACTGTAGCATCTTTTCACACATAATAGAGCTCACAGAGCACCCACTACTGAGATACACAAATACATCAGCAAGCTTGAGTCAGCCTTCTCAAGAGGATTCTGGGAATTTTTCAAAACTATGGACCCATGTGGACCTTCTTGATTAAGCCAGACAGCGCTTATGGGCATATGTTGGATTCATCATCGCTGATAAAGGTGCTGACTTTGTAAATAAGAAGCTGATTTGGCTGAAGAGTCCAACGCTGCAAGTGATCTAGGTTTGCTGATTTGGGAGAACAGCCTAAAACCACACCAGCGCACGATCATGAATCATGCACTTTCACTTGCATAAGCATCTGTTCCAGAGAAATTCACCCAACAGACGCTATTATGACATTGTTTTTGCTGTCCGTATTCAAATCAACATATTTTTGCGAGGAGAAACCCGACTGTTCAGAGAAATGTGCGCCACACAATGTAATACAACCAGATAACAGGGTGGAACAAATAAACAGTGATAACAATGGCTGGCAGTCATGTGTTTGTTTGTTGTTCCCAATGTCAAGATATCTGGTTAGGCTAACTTGAGTACCACCTGTAAATTTTATGTGAGTGTGTCTAAGTGAAGCGGATTTCCTGTTAATCTTAACATATCTTAGTTGACCATGAAAGTTTTCTACATTTCATTCGAAATATGTTGAAGTGACACACTGGTTAACAAAAAACCAAGATTCAATACTGCTAAGCCTCATTAAGAGAGATCCCAATCAGCATTTTTTCATTCATTTTGCTCATTATTCATGTCTATTAACCAGGACATCCCCCATCTTTTTGACAGGATCTTCCCTGAGTCACTGCGTTGGCTGCTGGCCACTCAACAGTACTGCCGCTCCAAGTGGATCATGGAATACATAGCAAAGAAAAACAAAGTGAACATGGAGCTTGACGCTGATAATATCCTCACAGGTATAATTTCAAAGTAATCCACATTAAAAGGCTGCTTTTTACATTTTGATAATATGACTAATGTATGTATTTGTTGAAACATGTTTTTTATGTTAAACGGAGTCATTGTGTCTTTGTGTATTTTGCTGCAGTGAAATCTTTTTTCTTTTTTTTCTTCTTCTGCGTATACCCCAGCTGTGCTTTCCTTAATAAGCCAGATTGACAAGGTTACATCAGTTTCCTGTCTGGTTACCATAGTAACAGACCACTCCAGAGGTAGCAGTGGGTGTTGAACATTACATTATGACACGTTAGAACATTCATTAATTTCGTTATGGCCTGGGTGGATGGACATGACATGTTGGTGTAGAGACGGCAGATGGGCGCAGGTCAGGCACTTTGACCCTGGGTTAACTGCGTCTGCACTCAGAGCCTGCCAGAGGCAAAGAGCAGGGTGATGTTGTTGTTCGTAGCAGATTGGATTTGTGTTAAGCTTTAACAGTGCTGTTTACTGTGGTATACTCTGTCATTGCTTAGTTATCAATACATTTAAAAAAAACAGTGCCACTGCTTGGAAAAGGTTCAAAGAGGAACCACTTGGTGTGAAATTGACTGAACTTTCTTAGGACTCGGATAGCGTGTGCTGACGCAGCATTAAGAAAAGTACATTGCCACAGACATTAATTTATCCACTCTTGTTTTTATAGTAACTGGCTGTCCCCAACCCTTACAGTAATATTTCCTATTTTAAACCGCTCAGCACTAAATACAATGTTGGGCACTGAATGTTCTTACTGTCGCTGTAGCAGAGCAGTTTTTCAAGCCCTGAGACATGACAGATGCATACGTAACTAGTGATTAGGTCAACTTTGGAAAGTGACTGGATTGATTTGTATACAGTAGATCTCAGTAGCTTTAGATAGAATAAGGTAGTCTTACTCAGAGGTTTGGAACTGTAGCCAAGGGATCACTGGAAAGCCTGAGTGATACAGCCGGAGATAACCTTGAGGCGCTGGTGTGGAATGCTGTCACATGCCTGAGTCAACATGAACATACAGTGCCACAAAGCAGAGGTGTGTTTCTGTGGCAACCCCGCAGTCTTATACAAAAACATTCACCAGGTGCCATGTCTTATATCACTTGCGGCTCCAGGGTGTTGCCCTCTAAGGCACAGTTCCTGTTCCCCTGTGAGCATTGTCATACCTGTCTCACAAAGCAGCGGGAGCCGCGTCTTGTGGGATGAAACGTGCTCATTAAAAATACATGTGGAATTTTCTGTGGTTGCAATAAATCAGGGGCGTCCTTGTTTGACTCTTTGTACCCAGACTGCTGTCAAACTTTCCTTTGACCTGAAAACCATCCATTTGACATGATGGTATTAATCAGAGCCTGGTGGATGTATAAGCAGGCTGAAATCACCTGATTACGGATATATTGGAATCAGTGTATATGTTGGCAGATATGCAGATAAAAGTTTTTTTTACATTAATTTATGTTGTTATTATGTTATTTTGATACTTATTTTCATGTGTAAAATATATTTGTGGTGTTTTATTTGAATTTTTATTTAAAATGATAGAATTTCCAGTCAAGTTGATGCTCATAATTTGTTCCTATCTTATGTTTACTGTTACATCCTTGATAGAAAACTTAATTGTTCAACTGTAAATATCCAGCCTTAGTAGATATCTTAGCCCTTCTTCAACAAAATTTGAGGGATAGTTGTAATTGAGTATTATAGTTTTGGGTAAAAAAAGGAAACTAGGTAATAGTTTTATGTGTTTTATTTAAAAAATAAGCCATTGTAGTTTATTCATTTCTTTTCATATCATATGTAGGGATGCTGCAACATCGGAAAAATAAATACCAACAAACAATAAGAATGCACTTATGCAGTGACCAAACGTCAAAGAGAAACTGAGGCAGAAACTTAGTGTGGACTATTGCACTTTATGCAAAAATCTTTTAAAAAGTGAGATATTGTCCAGGCTCTAATATTAATGTGTTTTCTTGTTTCCAGAACTGCAGAGAGCCCTTCAAAAAAAACCTAAAAAGACGTGCATTGTGAAAATGGTCGGGACGAGGAACCTGTGGAAGAATATCGTTGTGCTCTGTGTCAACTCGTAAGTGTTCATCTTATGTTTTGCCCCTTCGCTGTTTGGAAATGTATGCTGTTATAGGTGTGTGTGTGTGTGT